CGTTACCGGCTCATTTAGCTGGGCGTCGTGGAGAGCAGTGGAAAGAACCGGGCGAGCAGTTCAGTGCTGGGTAGTCCCACCCTGGTGGCGCTTTCTGGTTGAAAGCTCCAGAGCTGTTAGCCTGGCGGTTTCTGCTTATCCGTCTATAAAGTGGGGGTATCCGCCTTGTTTCTTTATGGTTAGGAGGAGCAGCTGAGACTCTGAGCTTACACATGTGATGTGTGTGAGCACGTTATGAACAACGAAGCAGGTACTCTGTGTACCAGAGTGACCGACTTTGAGGGAGAGGAGAATTGGGCAGTCTTAACAGAGGTAACACTTCAGCAGGAAAGGAACATCGTGCTCTGTGTTTCCTTTTTGCAAAATTAAAATCAAATGTAGAATTGAAATGTTTCTGCCTTTTCATTTCTAAAATGGTAACCGAGTGAAGAATAATTTTTGATAAGGTTAATGATGACTGAACAGTCGTATGAATGAGTTTCAAGGGATTTTCTGTCGGGGAATACCAGTTGGTACTTAATAGTGCCTTATGACCTATGAGGCACTTGTGTTCACTTAATCTTTGTACTAATCCTTGGAGGGAGATACTATTTTTCTATGTCTTATAAATGCAGAGACAGGTCCAAGGTTGTATAGTTAACCAGTCACAGTACTAGAACTCAAGTCTCCTGATTCCCTATTTCCTGGTGGTTTTTTCCCTCCATATTCGAAAGTTGTCTGAGAATCTGGCTCCTGAAGGGGCTCACGAGGGGGATCATGATACACAATATATAGAAGGATATACAGTAATATAGATCTGGTGGCCCGTGGGCAAGGATATGAGACATTGTGGATTGTTTGCAATTCACATGATTCTTTGCATTCTAAGTGTAAAAACCACTGCTGTAGGGGATCAAGGTTGGGTTGGTGACCAGCTTAATCTCTCAGACAAGACAGATACTTCCGGAGAGGGGCACTGTCAGTCTTTGAGAACTTCCCAGGATAGGTGTGAGTCAGAATTCCTCAATTGAGCAGTTCACTCTGTAGAATGGTAGAGTTGACTTTGGCCCATTTTCTGCATCTTGGCCACATGAGTAGAACTTGAGGATGGCTGAAATGCCAGCTTACATAAATTGATACGGTGAGTGAGAACATTTAGACATGCTCATTTGTTTGTAATGTAGCTTGGGCTCACTAGACATGGAGCACAGAGACAGTGGAGGGGCCCTGACCTAGAAGAACTGAGAAGTAGACTTGTCTCTCCCTTCCTAGACAGCTAGTCTATATGTTAGAGGTGTGTTTACAATGCCCAGGGCACCCAGAGTGACTGGCCGTGGGAGGGAAAAGGGAGAGAAGGGGACAGGTGCCACAGAGAAAGCATTTAGCTGGAGAGGAATAACATGCCTGAGTCTTGGCTTTGAGACACTGGGAAGGGCAGGGCTTGTAGCTGGTGGGAGAAGCAGCCTAAGAGTTCAAGGCCCTACTTAAAAGGCCTACAAGGCCTCCAGCTTGAGTTCTGGTTCTTCCGCTTACTGGGCAAATAAGTGGGAAAATTACTTCTCCAAAAGTAAAAGCTCTAGTGTGGTATTTAGCGCAGAGCTGTTTGAGATATGTTGTAGAATGAATAGATTTTCTTAAAGAGGGGAATTTTGTCTAGTACGGCAAAATCAAAAGAGTATCTGTTCTATAATCCAAAATTATTCTACCTACTAATGTGTTTCCTTTTGCCTGGTGTTAAAGTGTGAATCAAGTTATTTATACCCAGACTAGCTATTTTATATTTGCTCTCATTTTAAAGAAGTTTCTTTTCTTACCCATCTGAACAGAAACTAAAGCTACAGAGTGGAGAGATAACTAGAGAAGAGAAGCAGCCGGCCTCAGCCCAGTCCACCCCAAGCAGCAGCCCCCACTCCTCCCCTAAGCAAAAGTCCAGGTGAGCCCTTCCGGTGAGCCTGCCGAGCTGCAGTGTGCTTCTAGAAAAGCTAGTGCTGCATACAGAATTGGAGTTTAAGCCTGTGGTTTCAGAGGGAGAAGGGGGAGTTGGCAGTTCCAGTCTCTTGGCATGAGATACTTCTAGAGGCATAGGAAGGGGATATAAGGATATGCTTTATTCTTTCCCTTCCAGAGGCTGGTTCACTTCTGGTCCTTCCACAGCCTTGCCTGGCCCAAATCCTGGCACCATGGATTCTGCCAGTGGGGACAAGGACAGAAACTTGGCAGATAAATGGAGCCTCTTTGGACCAAGATCCCTCCAGAAGTCTGATTCAGGTAAGACTGCTCCTTCAAAAAAAAACAAAAAACAAACCCATGTGGGTGGCATTTTACCATGTATATTGGGGGCTGCCTACTAATTTTGAAATAATTTGCTTTTTGGTTTACTTCTGTAGGAGGTTTTGCCACCCAGGCTTACAGAGGAGCCGAGAAGCCTTCTCCGATGGAACTGATCCGTGTTCAGGCCACCCGAATGGCTGAAGATCCAGCAACCTTCAAGCCACCCAAGATGGACATCCCAGTGATGGAAGGGAAGAAACCACCACCAAGGACCCATAATCTCAAACCCCGTGACTTAAATGTGCTCACACCCACTGGCTTCTAGAGCTCTTTGTATTCCAGGGGCTCTGGATAGAGGGTGTCTTGTACCCAACTCCCCTTTTACCTTGGCTTTGACATAGGAAAGGTTTTTTTTTTTTTTTTTTTTTAAACTTCTTAAACTGAGGCTAGAGCTGGAGATGTAATTGGTTTTCGAGAAATGTTAGTGCAAAGCTTGTCCTTGTGTGGAAGAAGCCATTTTGTATGGTTTAGTTTAAATAATCCCAGCAGTGATGTATGGGGGACCTCCTTATTCATTTTGTATCATTTACGTTAGACAAGATCTTTGATCATTGCTTACCAAGTAAATAATGTTTGTGTTGTTCCAGAACTGAGGCTTCGTGATTTCTTTACCACTATAAACATGTGTATGGACAAATCATGGAGTAGAGGTGTGCCCAACTAGTTGAGACTTTGACCCTCTTGACTCTGCACTTCTGTGTGCTCCAGTCTTGTCAGCTGGGGGACCTGAGATCTGTTTGGCAGCCAGACTTGGCAGGGATCCCCCCTTCCTGTGCTGAGACTGGAGTGTCCTTGTGTTTGGTAGGCCTTACAGGTCACTTCGTCCTGCAGCCAGCTGTGTCTTACCAGAGCACCTCTGGCCAGTGCTGTTGGAGGGATGCTTCGCTTTTATGTGTCACGGAACAAACACTAGCCTTGCATATCCTATTTTGCACTTTTAAAATGAAATTGATTTACCTCCAATTTGGTTGAAAACTTCCTACGGGAGAAAATTCAGTCCACTGGTTTGGTATAGATAAATGGATGTTAAACTTTTTTCAAGTACAGAAGGTGGTACCTACATTTAGATGGTAGTCTTGAGGTTCATGTGAAACTAGCGTTACCCTATTTTGATTTTTTTTTTTCTCTTTTGATTTTCTTGTTCAGGCCAGGCATAAGACTTTTTTTTTTTCTGGGAAGTGGAAGAATTTAAAATTTTTCTACATGAAATCATTGCTCCCCAGAAAGAGCTGCATACTTTTATAAATATATGTTCCTGAGGAAAGGAACTAAGGAAGCCACTTTATTTCTCCTCACCATGAATGTGTTCAGTCATTGTCTTAAAAAACTGTCTCAAATTCCCACTGTTTTTTTGTTTTGGATACTATCACGTCTACATAAGGAGCTGAGCTGACTTTTCCGGCAAGAAGTCCTGGAGTCTCGGGCGCCTGGGTGGCTCAGTTGGTTAAGCGACTGCCTTCGGCTCAGGTCACAATCCTGGAGTCCCGGGATCGAGTCCCGCATCGGGCTTCCTGCTCAGCAGGGAGTCTGCTTCTCCCTCTGACCCTCCTCCCTCTCGTGCTCTCTGTCTCTCATTCTCTCTGTCTCAAATAAATAAATAAAATCTTTAAAAAAAAAAAAAAAAAAAAAAGAAGTCCTGGAGTCTAAAATGATCAGAATAATTAATTTATTTGTGTCTTCTGTTATGCTTGTATCTCTTATTTGTTTTGACAATAAACTTCTTAAACTGCTTTCTCAAATGTGGATAGCCTTTGTGTGTGTGTGTGTGTGTGTGTGTGTATTTAAGAGTTGTTCTTACATTCTGCCTACTCACGGTCATAGAACCTAAGCATGGTAAACTTGGTATTTTGAAAAACCATTGCCTTTTTATTGTATCCTTTTAACATCAAATTATTTGTAACACACTCAATCTTTTTGTTTCTACCCCCCACCCCCATTACATTAGATCTTAACGGACTGGCCACAAAGTCAAATTCATCGGCAATATAACAGCTGTGATATAGGATGTTTGTGATCCATCGGGGAGAAATGAGTATATCTTTCTCTTCTGAAACAGGTCGTCAGTACCTTGAATGACATACATCGATGTCCAGAATTTGTTCAGAGGGCTTAATGGAAATGTTAAACATATAGTGCATATAGTATTACCTGTTTCAAAAAAAGTATAGATAAATAATTTATTAAAAAATATATACACCTTGTATATTTAAGCCGTATTTGAGAACAGGCTAGGATAGAATATCAAAAAAAGATATTTACTAAAGAGTTAGAAAGTCATTATAACCTACAGATAAATAAGATAGGTTTGGTCCTGTAAGATTTTTAACTACTTCAGATACTTTCAGAACTTCCAAGTAGTTGGAGATAGAGTTCAGGAGGTATTCTTGGTGTTCAGTGCTTAGAAGGACCTCAGGGGCTGCTCCAGTTCTTCGGAGAAGGCTCTGCGTCAGGGTTCAAGTCCGCGGCATAGATGAGCAGGAGCTTCAACAAGTGCACTTTGTCTTGGAGCTGGGGCGCCAGCGGCTCCCCCAGGATCTGGGTCAGGCGGCTGCGGAAGGCCTCAATCTGCCTCTCCACATCCAGTGCTGTGATGTCATCCCCTTGCTGGGGCTTGGGCTTAATCCTCTTGATGATTAAGTCTTTCCGATCAATCACTGAACTCCGCAAGTGCTCTGCAAGAGGGAAAAAGTCAGCTGAACTCCTCTGAACGGCTTTTTATTCCTTTATGACTTAAGAAGAAGTCCAATTTTAGTAGGTAGGGCCTGGGCAAAGACTTGACTGGTGGTTACAGGAGTACAAGTCAAAGGTAATTTGAGTATCTGTGGTCACTCAATTTCTAAAAGGTCCTTTGTTCTTGGTTCTCTCTGGTCCTCAAGTTTTGCATATTAAAATTGTACAAATTAAAATTGTCTTAGTTTTTTCCCTTTGTTGATTTAAGCAATGAGCCTAAACAATGCAACTATACTTCAAGTTAATATAACACTTGCAAAAAACCCATGTGAATTTTTAATATCTTCTGGGAGATTGATTCTAGTATAAAAAGAATTGTAAAGAAATATTGAATTAATTTCTTAGTTTGTTGTAGTGTTGGTCTATTGTAGTAATTCTGTTGGAAAACAATTTCGTGTATGTTGTATGATAGACCAAATAAATATATCCATGTTCAGAATAAGGGTTCTTGCTGTGGGAGAAGAGTGATTCAGTTATGGAATAGGAGGAGAGGAAGAATTCTGAGGGACTGGAAATTGAGGTATTGCTATGAACTCGTATTTCTAAAAAAAATTATGTAATTTTCTAGCTCTGTTGTCAGAGGGCCTAGAAGCAGGTACCCCAGTAGTAATCAGCATATTAGCACCCAGATCTTGATTTCTTAATGCTTCTCCCCACTCCCTACCGAGAGAAACCAGAATTTTTTTGGAGGAAAGTCCTAGAGGACCATGGCAAGGAAATTACAAGGTGAACCTGGAACATCTTTTATAAGAAAGTAAGGGAATGCTTAAAAACAGAGTGGGGGAAAACGCGCGTGCGCACACACACGGGAACACGTCAAAAGGACACAGAAGCCAGTGTGAAGAGGCCTCTTATTGGCTACGTTTTGGACATGATCATTAAAAAAATGACAAAAATGGGTTATAGGCATGAAATTTTAAAAAGTGCGGAGTCCACAGTAAATAAAAGAGGAGGGGAGGAAGAAGGGAAAGGTCCTTTTTGCAGAAGAAGGCCAGTTAAGAAATGTAGAGGCAATGTATAACTAGAAAGCAACCACTTTTCAATCTACTGTTGTAATGACTGATTCGGGTAAGAACCATCAGTGGGTGCTAAAACCCTTGAGTGAAAGGCTGAATAGGATATTCAGTCTCAAAGTTTTACTCTCTGGATTACTTAACTAATAACAGAGCAATGGGGAAATCTGATAGATACTACCTTAAGCAAATGATCACACTTAACATCACCAATAATGGGACCAAACTGACATTATCGCCTCTTGCTGTCATGTGCTGGGAAGGAGTGTACATCTTCATCTAGTCAGTGGTCTTGCCAGTAGGATTTAACAGAACTCTGATCATGAGGAAATAATTAAGACAACCCCAATTATGGGATATTCTACAAAAAAACTGGTCTGGGCTCTTCAAAAATGTCTGTATTATGAAAGACGAGGAAAGGGTGGGAACTGTGTAAAAGGAGACCAAAGAGTATACAACAACCAAACGCAAAGTGTGATATTTGGAGCCTGGCTCAAAACAGACCCAGCCGCCTATAAAGGATACTACTGGGACATGTTAGAGAATATTCTGTTAAGGATCAATTTGTTGAGTGTGATAATGAATTGTGGTATGTATGGGAATATCCTTATTCTTAGGCCAAAGTATTTTTAGGCATGAAGGATTCTGATGGTGCAACTTACTCTCAACTCTCAAAAAAAAAAAGTATTCAGGTGGATCAATAGATAAACCAAAATGTGGCAAAATGTTAACAGCCAGTAAATCAACATAAAAGGTAAATGGATGTTCATTGTACCACTCTTTCAACCCTCCAAAAATAAAAATATTGAGGAAAAGTAAAAGAAGTTATAAAGGTCTCTCATCCAAATCCACAGATTAGCCCCAACAGGATTCGGGAAGTATATGGAGTTCAGGCAAAGGAGCACGGCTGTGGTGAGCTTTGAGGACTTGCAGACTCCCAGATGCACCAGCATTCACTAGAGCATCACTTCCTCCATCTCCTCATTTAGAAGATGGGGATAACGGCACCTCTTCTAGCAGGGTGTTTAGGACTGAACTACATCGTATCCAGAAATTTGGGAAACAGAATAAACTTGTTTTTAAGCAATGTACTAAGTTACACTTTCAAATAATATGCTCAGTATGTTTTTCTTCAACCTTCAGGTATCTTTTCAGGTAAAGTCCCTCTAAATTTATAGCACCGGGCCCAACTGTAAAGTGAAAAAGAGTACAACAAACACTACAGAGTGTCTAAAAAGGAAACAGGAAGCAAAGCTGCCTTGAGATGTCCTATCAGGGCCCTTTCAACATTCAATCAACACAAATTCCAGTGAGCACCTACTATGCATCTGGAAGTGGGCTACTCTCTGGGGATACAGTGCAATTAGAGACGTGGGCCCAGCCCCCATGAACTGACATTCTAGTTGCAGGAAGCCTAACAGTAAACCAGCCAACAAAAACAATTATAGTTTTGGTGAGTACAATCACAGAAATAAATCAGATGCTGTGAGAAACAGTGGCATTGGGGGGATGAGGGAAGCAGCCCACTCTACTCAGGGCCTCTTAGCTGAGTCCTGAAGGATGAGAAGGAGGCAATTGTGCAAAGGTCTAGGGGAAAAGCAGTTCAGGTAGCGAGAACAGCAAGTGTAAATGTCCTGAGGCAGGAAAAGCTTGTTTTGAGAACTAGAGGTAAAATGTGGGTGGTAAGGGAAAGCGGTAGTAGAGGAGACTGGAAGGTAGGCTGGACCACAGAACAATGTGGAGTTTGGCCTTTGAGAGCAAATGGAAGCATCTGGAGGGTTTTAAGCCAGGGAATGTGCTCTATTTTACTCTGCTACTGGTGGAGAATGGTTGTAGGGGGACGAAAGTCTTTTAGTAAAATGTAGTTTTTGTAAGGCATATGCTACTCTGAAAAATATGAAAATGATTTTGAAGGAATGGAAAGAACTGGCTGAACAGAGGGGAATAGGGAAGACTTGGAGTAGGAGCAAGAAGAATTTGGAGTTTATTAAAGTAATACAAGACATTCAAAGAGGTAAATGTTGGCAGTTCCCGACCAAGCACTGTCCAAGGGAGAGGAACTCTTGGCCAGTGGACTTCAGCCATTCTGGTCCAGTTGGCAAGGCCTTGGATTTTATGCTTCGGTAGGCATGGGAGGTCTTGTATCAGAGGCTGTTGGGAATACTGTGTGAGGCGATTTATGTAAAGGGTTTAGCACAATGCCTTATGCAAGATGTTCTGGCTCACAGTATTATTATTAGGTTCCTGGATCAGGTTACTAAGGGTAACTACTATTATTATTATATTAATATTTATGTATTTATGTATTTATTTATTTATTTATTTAGAGCAGGCGGAGAGGGGCAGAGGGAGAAGGCGAGAGAGAAACTAAAGCAGACTCCATGCTGAGCACGGAGCCCAACCTGGGGCTTGATCTCACAACTCTGAGATCATGACCTGAGCAGAAACCAAGAGTCAGATGCTCAACTGACTGAGCCACCCAGGCTCCCCCTAGGGGTAACTATTATTATTTTATCATCATCTTCATCTTCATCATCATCACTATAGGAATCTCCAACTCAACAGTCAAACTGCGCTTTTTCCCTTCTCTACAGATCTTTCTCCATTTATGTCCGTGTCAGCAACGGCAGAACCCTGAAGCCTTACTTGCGACTCAGTTACCCAAGCCCTGATAAACTGATCTTCAAAGTGCTTCTGTTCTATCCACAGCCTTCCCCGCTGCACAACCCACACCCTCGCCACCATGACCCCTCCCGGGACCTCTCTGGTCCTCCGCCAAACTACTTGCCCACCTCAGGCAGAGCAACCTTATGCAAAACCACTTTGATGGCTTCTCTTCACTCTTGGAATCAAGCTGACATTTCTTAACAGGGCCCAGAAGGCCCTTCGTGCCCTATCCAATATTCTAGTCTCATCTTGTGCTCGTCTCCCCTTGCTCTCTACATTCCAGTGTTACTAGCTTGTTCTAAGTTCCTTGGACTCGCTAAACAACTTCTTGCCTCAGGGCCCTTGGACGTGCCATTTTTTTTTTGGAAAGATTTTATTTATTTATTTATTTGACACAGAGAGAGACAGCGAGAGAGGGAACACAAGCAGGGTGAGGGAGAGAGGGAGAAGCAGGCTTCCCGCGGAGCAGGGAGCCCGACGCGGGGCTCGATCCCAGGACCCTGGGATCATGACCTGAGCCGAAGGCAGTCGCTTAACCGACTGAGCCACCCAGGCGCCCCAGACATGCCATTTTTAATTTTTCTGGAAAACTTTGCCCTATTTGCCTGGCTAACACCAGTCCTGTTTTTTTGTTTGTTGTTTTAAGGATTTTATTTATTTATTTGAGAGAGAGAGCATGAGTGGGGGGTGGGGGATAGGGGCAGAGGGAGAGGGAGAAGCAGACTCTGCTGAGCAGGGAGCCCGATGTGGAGCTTGATCCCAGGACCCCGAGATCATGACCTGAGCCGAAGGCAGATGCTTAACGGACTGAGCCACCCAGGTGCCCCACCAGTACTTATCTCAGCTGAAGTATCACTTCTTCAGGGAGGCCTTTGTGGGTCCCTCCAAAAATAGATTAGGTGCTCCTATTTTGCGCACTTCTTTCCTTCAGAGCATTTATTTTAATTGTGGTTATATGTTATTTATGTGATTATTTGTTCAGGGTCAATCTCTTCACAGTAAGCTCTATGAGGGCAGGGGCCACGCTGGTCTTATTCACTGAAGTTTTCCCAATGAGCCAGGCACACAGAAGGCATTTCATAAATATTTGTTGCCTGGATGAATATATGACTTGAATTGATCTTGCCGGCATCTGCTTTTCTCCCGTCTCTGGATGGGGCTCCTCGTAGGAAGGCTGTGTGTGTTTCTCCTCAGAAGGAACTGAGGTCTGACTTCTGTGGGTCATCCTGCCTAAGTTGTCTAGCCAAGTGGAATTCAGGAAAACAGGTGTTTTTCTTCCTTTAAATACTGTATGTTTAAATTCCTAGCATTCATAGTTTCAAAATAAGAGGTATTAACAATTCACAAGTATCAGGAAAACTCATGGCATAAAGCAAGTTGCCGTTTTGCTGAGGCTCAAACTTGAGCTGCATGGCTGTGGCACTGGGGTGTGGTGGGATTGATTCTCTCAGCCAGAGAGTGTGAGTTTACCTGGCGGCCCAGCATCTATGCCCCCATGGGGCTGCTCTGCCTTCTTTGGAAATATTTACAAAGTATGGGGCTTCAGGATATACTTTTCCCCAAGGTCAAGGGTTTGTACAAAAGTAATTTAACCATGTACCGAGAGTTTAGAAAACAGGGAGTTGGAAATTCCTTAGAGTCTCACCTAATCTCACCCAGTGATTTCATAGAACAATCATTCCTTCCAGTGTGTTTTCACTGCACATAGACTTTGGCAACAGACCTAAGTTTGAATCCTGGCTCCTCACTTACTTTTCTCTCAGCCTTTGTTTCCCCGTCTATAAAAAGGGGATGATACTCACCTTCCCCAGGTTATTGGATTATATATGCCAGGGTGTGTGAATTTACCTAGTCTTTCTTCTTCTCTTCCCCCATGCTAAGATGTTCCCCTAAACAGAGGACAAGCTTGGGCTCCCCAACCTCTTCCCTTCTTCTCCTATCCGTGGAGCTGGACAACTCAGGCTGACCCCAAATGCCTTCCACAATGTCCTCAGACCACTTGCAGAGGGCAGAGATGACTAAGGAGCCCTCACAGTAAAAAGCCTACTGACAAGGATACTGACCATGTCAGGGTGCCATTTAGCTGCCTTCTTTGGAGGACATTGTTTCCGAACTATTGCTTCTAAATATTTTTTCTCCTTCTTAACTCTTGGTCTCCAAAGAAAGTAGAGAGAATGTTAAGGATAAAATAGCACTGGAACACATCCCATTTATTCTTGGTCAATATACACTGGTCTAAGTTTTTCCTCTTCCTTGTTAGAAGCATAAAAATATTCTGGAATGAAAGTGGATCCATGTCCATCTTAAGTTACTATTGCCCCCAAGGCCCAGCTGTATTCCCTGGGAAGCAAAACAGAAGTAAACAAGGAGTGTTAAAGGTGAATTTTAAATAAAACCAGGCTGCTTTAATATTAAACTTTCTGCGCGATCTCCAAAAGAACAATTATGTAAACCTTGATGAGGCTAAGTACAACATGGAATTTGCCTCTGAGGCTTTGTTCTGAGAAGGACATGTACCCTTCTTTGAGGGGGCTAAAAAATGCACAAACTACACAACCATAAATGTCATGGCCTTGACTATGCCCTTTTAAGTTTTAGTTACAAGAGGCTGAAACATAAAGATCTCGTAGCCTACTCCTGGCTGGGCAAATAGGCAGGCTGAGATTCAACTAAAATTGAGTGCTCACTATTTTTTCTCACATCTTTTAACAATCAGTCTCGAAAAGGTCTATAATACCATCCCCATTCCATAGAAGAAAATGAGGTTTAGAGACATAAAGTTAGCAGAGTAAGTGGTGGAGTTGGGATTCAAACCCAGACCTTCTGTTTTGTTTTGGTTTTGTTTGTTTTAAAGATTTTATTTATTTATTTGACAGAGAGAGAGATAGCGAGAGCAGGAACACAAGCAGGGGGAGTGGGAGAGAGAGAAGCAGGCTTCCCGCTGAGCAGGGAGCCCAGTGTGGGACTCGATCCCAGGACCCTGGGATCATGACCTGAGCCGAAAGCAGATGCTTAACGACTGAGCCACCCAGGTGCCCCTCCAGACCTTCTGTCTTAAATTCAGTGCTGTTTTTTTCTCTACAATAGCTTCCCCAGTTCCAGGCCTGAGAGGGTACAAGGGCCATCGTACCTTCCCCAGTGACACTACTGAGCTAAAATCAACCTCAACATGATTGTGGCAAGTAAATATAAAATGTATATTATATAGGGGTGCCTGGGTGGCTCAGTCATTAAGCGTCTGCCTTCGGCTCAGGTCATGATCCCAGGGTCCTGGGATCGAGCCCCGCATCAGGCTCCCTGCTCAGCGGGAAGCCTGCTTCTCCCTTTCCCACTCCCCCTGCTTGTGTTCCCTCTTTCACTGTGTCTCTCTCTGTCAAATAAATAAATAAAATCTTAAAAAAAAAGTATATTATATATAAATGTATATATTTACATATAGTTATATATAAATATGTACTGTCCCTCCTCACTGTTTGAGGATAAGTTGAACATTGTGCCCTTCTACCCCTCAATACTTCAATCTGGACTTTGTAAGACTGAGGACAATTATTTTCATAAGCCAGGATCGTTATCAAAAATAGGAAATTTAATATTAGTTTAATACTATTATTTAATCTATTTAAATCTCACCAGTCATCCCAATAACATACTTCATAGCTTCTTTGCCCTGGTTCAGGAGCCCATCCAGGATCATGTTTTGCATTTAGTATTAATGTGCTTTAGTTTCTTTCTAATCTGGAACAGTCTCTTGGTCTGTCTTTGTTTTTAAGACACTGGCACTTTTGAAGAGTACAAGTCAATTATTTTGTGAAAGGTCTCTCCGTGGCAATTCGTCTGATGCTTCCTTGTGATTAGATTCAAGTCATGGATTTTTGGCAAGAACACTACCTAAGTGATGACGTGTCCTTCTCAGGGCATCACATTAAGAAGAATGTGTTTTCTCTCCTAAAAAGGTACTATCTTTGGGGGCACCTGGGTGGCTCAGTTGGTTAAGCACATGACTCTTGGTTTCAGCCCAGCTCATGATCTCAGGGTGTGGATGGAGCCCCACTTTGGCTCTGGGCTCAGCAGGGAGTCTGCTGAAGATTCTCTCTCTCCCTCTCTTTCCCTCTCCCGCTGCCGCTCCCCCTGCTCATGTGCACACTCTCTCCCTCTCAAATAAATAAATAAATACATCTGTAAAAAAAAGTTACTATCTTTCCTTTTGGAATTAATAATTACATCAGTAATTGGGAACAAGGGCCTTATTAATATTTGGCTAATAAAATCATTCTCACTTGAAGTAGCTCTTCCATTATTACCCTCGTCGACACTCACTTCCTGAGTGTTAATTAGTCTAACTCTCCTGGATCCTCCTGGATCACTGGGTTGGCCTGGGACTTGAGCAAAGCCACTTTCACAGACTATAGAGCATCTTACAACTTCTGCAGGATGTATGCTTTTACCTTGCCACTGATTTGCTCTGGCTTTGTATCCTACTGACAGATGTTTGCAATGTCCACAGTCAATGAGCAAGTGACCCAGCAAAGACTTGCAGTGACGGGCAGGGTAAGATGCCAGGGCTAATCAGGTCATTACAGAATACTCCTGGTATGATGACTGCTGCTTACCTGTCAACCTAATAACTGCAAGGACCACTGTATTATCTGCCATAACGGAAACATGTGAATTCTTCTGATTTATAGCAGCGATTCCAAAGGTGTCATTCCTTGTTCCTTGTAGTTATAACTAAGGAACGATGCTTTACTTAGACTAACAAATTAGAATCCCCCATGTAACTCCAATTCATAACAGTGGCGATTGTGAGACTCCCATACAATCATCTTTGTGAACAAATGCTGCTTACCTCTTAACACATGCTGATAACTGGATAACAGGAACTGCAGGTGCTCAACCAGTTCGTCCCACGTCTGCCACTGGGTTTTATCCGACTGCGGAGAAGTGAAAGCAGTTGGTAGGAGGTGCCTTCTTCAGTTACATGCTCAAGGGTGAGGGGAAAGGTGTTCTAGGCCTGACCGAGGCAGGGAAGCATGTACCTGACACTTGAGCAGTGATGTGGAATTGTTCAGAAAGTAGAGGGCCTGGGCCAGAGACAAGGGCAGGCGGGTGGGCGTCTCACAGCTGTGGAGGAATATGATTTCTAACACTTTGCAGCGCAGAAGGTGGCTTTCCATAGTAGTAAAGAACATCTCCCTGCGTGGAGAAGAGAGAGAGGGTTAACCATCCCCACTATCACTTCAAGGAACACATACCACAATTCCCTCTGAAAGCTCTAACCTTTGCCCTAAAACAGAGGTGGCTAAGAAGGAATATGACAGAGGCCTACAAATGCACAAAGCTTGTGAACGAGGCAGAGGTGGGGTTGTTCATGAATTAACAACTGCCAGAAGGAGGGAAAAGTCTTTGATATTTGGAAAAGAAAAGTTTAGGACACATTAAAAGATTAACTTCATATTGTAAGAGAATTAATACTGGGAATAAATATTTCTAAATGCCCACAATTTGCCAGACACTGTTTGGCACAGCAAAGAATATTAAGATAAATAAAAGAAGGCATTTCTCTCAAAAAGCTGACTGTTGGGCGCCTGGGTGGCTCAGTTGGTTAAGCAACTGCCTTCGGCTCAGGTCATGATCCTGGAGCCCCGGGATCGAGTCCCGCATCAGGCTCCCTGCTCGGCAGGGAGTCTGCTTCTCCCTCTGACCCTCCTCCCTCTCATGCTCTCTGTCTCTCATTCTCTCTGTCTCAAATAAATAAATAAAATCTTTAAAAAAAAAAAAGCTGACTGTTGACCAGAGGCAAAAGGTACGCAATGGGAACCGAAATAAAGTGTGGGGCCAGTGCACGTGTACGTGGGCTGCCCGTGGTGCTCCAGGGATACGCACGGGAGAGACGACACTTGGTCAGGGGACTAGAAGGGGCCTTCTAATGGAGGAAGAGGCACGGGACAGTGGTCTAGGAAGAGCAAAAAAGGCTCAAGGCAGGAGGCATTCCACCAGAGGGGAAAAACCTGGACAAAAAGAAAGAAGTAAAAAATACACAGCTGTGGGCATTGTAGCTTCTTAAACTTCAAGTCTAGGACTTGAGTCCCTCTGGGGGGACATGCCCTGGACTTTGTCACTTTACCCAGTGCAGGACTTGACCAGCAAAGGTGGGCTGCAGCATATTCAGAATCTCAGAGAGGGAGAGCTACAAAACTGCAGCTTTGCTTCGGGAAAGTTAATCAAGCTCATTGTTCTAGGGTCTTTTAATTTTTTTTTTCTTAAAGTAGGCTCCATGCCCAGCTTGGAGATTGAGCCCCCGACCCCAAGATCAACACCTGAGCTGAGATCAAGAGTCAGATGCCTAACCGACTGAGCCACCCAGGTGGCCCTCAGGCTCCTTGTTCTAAAAGCAATGTCAGCTTCCAAAAGAGTGTTATAAATCTCAGATGCACAGGGTGCATCTCTGGACTGCCCGAAGGTGTTAGCTTAAAGGTCTGTCTGTCAGTCCTTGTCAGGTCTGCTGGTCATAGCAGTTCCGGAAGCAGACACCTTGTGAGCACATAAAGAGGTACAGCAATGAGGAACACAGCTAGCCCTGATCCAAGAGGTTTTTCTCCTACAACATCTTGCCCCTTTGTAGTTTTGCAACATCTGGAAAAACAGGGGGTTCTTTGTGCCACTGCCATTTATAAAAATGATAAATCATAAAGTATCTATTCATTTTTATTTTCTTTTCTCCTTTTCGCTTTGCTTTTGCACCAGGCACATATATTATTTGTAGAAAAGCAAAGTTTATAAAGCAAAATGAATATTTTTAAACTTTCCCTCTTACCATTCACAAGTTTTAAAAAGTCTACAATATTTATGAAAATCCATTTTATTTCTTTAATGAGTCGAAAATCATTGTATACCTTCTCTGACAAAATTTTCTTTTTCTTTCTTTTTAAGTAGGCTCCATGCCCAGTTGGAGCCCAACACAGGGCTTGAACTCACAACCCCAAGATCAAGCCCTGGACTGAGATCAAGAGTGAGATGCTTAACTGACTGAGCCACGCAGGTACCCCACAAATTTTCTTCTTTGATGCAAGGAACTCCAAAGGATTACATTTGCAAAATATTCCCCAAATTCTTTTTAAAGTCCAATTTCTAGGGGCACATGGGTAGCTCAGTCAGTTAAGCATCCAACTCTTGGTTTCAGCTCAGGTCATGATCTTGTGGGTTGTGGGATCGAGCCCCACATCCAGCTCCATGCTCAGTGAGGAGTCTGCTTGAGATTCTCTCCCTCTCTCCCTATTTGTGCGTTCTTGCTCTCTTTCTCTCTCCCAATCTCTTTCTTTAAGAAAAAGTCCAATTTTAGGGATGCCTGGGTGGCTCAGTCAGTTAAGTGTCTGCCTTTGGCTCAGGTCATGATCCCAGGGTCCTGGGATCTAGTCCCACATTGGGCTCCCTGCTCAGCGGGGAGTCTGCTTCTCCCTCTCCCCCCTCTTTGTGCTCTCTCTCTCTCAAATGAATAAATAAAATCTTTAAAAAAAAAAAGAGTCCAATTTCTACTCTGTATTTGGCCTATTTCTCTCACAAGACAGTTTTTCTATTCAATAACCTTTTATTTCAAACTGCATTTTCTCTTCTAATTTTGTTTCCAGGGCCTGTGTTTGTCTTGGTTTTATAATCCACAGGTGGCATACTCAGAGATATAAAAAGGACAAAAAGGTAATTTTAATGTACTGGCCATAGCAGGAAATGGAGGTACAAAATCTATAGCAATTCAAATTTGAATTTCAAAAACAAGATACAGAGGAAGGCCAACATCCAGATTCATAGAATACCTGGTATTGGACTTACCCTCCTGTCATAAACAATTATAAAACTGGAGAAGTATATGCAATAATCATTTTCAGGCACTGGACGAGCTGCTTCAAAGTACTGTTATTCTTAAAAGAAGGGAAACAAAAGTGACAAACCCCACATTTATCCCAAATTTCTTATGGGGGTACTTTCTAAGGCAGAGGAAAGTGTGGGTCCCAAACACAAAGCAGTGGGCTTGCTGGGCAGAGCAAAAAGAGACTGATGGTTAAGACAGCTGAAGTGGCTGGAATTTGTATTGGGGGAGGAGGAGCTCAAGAAATGTGTGTAAAGGGGGCCCTGGCACATGTGCAGGAAGAAGCTCAAAAGCCTGAGAGAGAACAGCAACTGGAGCGGAGATTCTGGAGATCTCCCAGCGCTGAGATACTGGGGTTTCAATGAGCCACAGTGGAGAGACTTCACTGAACATCTTGGGCCTTCAGTTGAGACCCCAAAAGGACTGAGCCTCAAGACTCAAGCCCTTTAATAAGGGCTGCTTTAGAACCACCCTTACAAGTCCTAGAAACAAGCCTCAACAGGAGAAAGCTAATCTGCCAGTAAATCAGTCGCCTGCCAGAATAAAACTCACTACTCTTTAAAAAAACAGGCAGCAAACCAGACCTTCAACAACACAGCATTTATAACGTCCAGCATACAACAAAAAATTATTAGTCAAGGGAAAAAGCAGGAAAATATGACCCATAGCCAGGAGCAAAATGTCCAGAGAAACAAACAAACAATATCCAGAGATGTTGGAATTAGTAGACAAGGCCTTTAGAACAGCTATTATAAATATGTTCATGATTAACCAACCAACCAACAGACCAAGATGTATATAATGAGTGACTAGGTGGGGACTATTAGCAAAGAGAAACGGAAACTATAAAAATGAACCAAATGGAAACTCCAGATCTGAAAAATACAATATCTGAAATGGGGAAAAAAAAAAAAAAATCACTGGATAGGCTTAACAGCACCCTGGGCATTCTGAAAGAGAGGATCAGGAATCCTGAAGACTATCCACACTGAAGCAGAGAAAAAAAAAAATCAAAACAAAGCAAAACAATAATAGAAAACATCAGAACCTTAGTGATCTGTGGAACAGTGTCAAGCAATCCAACATACATGTAACTTGAATCCCCAAAATAAGTTAAGAGTTTGCGGCAAGAGCGCCTGGATGGCTCAGTCGTTAAGTGTCTGCCTTCGGCTCAGGTCATGGTCCTAGGGTCCTGGGATCGAGCCCCGCATCGGGCTCCCTGCTCCGCGGGAAGCCTGCTTCTCCCTCTCCCACTCACCCCTGCTTGTGTTCCCTCTCTCGCTGTGTCTCTCTCTGTCAAATAAATAAATAAAATCTTAAAAAAAAAAAGAGTTTGCGGCAAAAAAAATTCTGGCCAAAATTTGATGAAAAATATCAACTCACAGATTTAAGAAACTCAAACCCCAAGCAGGATAAATGTATAGAAAATTACATGTAGGTATCATAATCAAATTGCTAAAAATCAAAAATAAAGCAGCCAGAGAAAAAAGACATATGACATATAGGGGAACAACAGTAAGATATTCTAATAACTTCTCATTAGCAAGTCAGGAGAAAATGGAACATATTTAAAATAAATAAAGAAAAAAATACCTATCAACCTAGAATTTACATCAAGTAAAAACACCATTCCTAAATGAAGATGACATAAAAACATTTCCAGATAAAAGCTGAGAGAATTTATTACAAGTAGACCTGCACTACAAAAAATACTTTAAAAAGTAAGTTCTTTGGGTGGACAAGAAATGGCACCAAATGGAACTTGAATCTTCAAGAAAGAAGGAACACCAGAAATGGTAACTCTGTGGGTCCCACGTATTTTTTTTTTTTAAGATTTTATTTATTTGACAGAGAGAGACAGCGAGAGAGGGAACACAGCGAGAGAGAGAACACAAGCAGGGGGAATGGGAGAGGGAGAAGCAGGCTTCCCACACAGCAGGGAGCCTGACGTAGGGCTCGATCCCAGGACCCTAGGATCATCACCCGAGCCGAAGGCAGACACTTGACAACTGAGCCACCTGGGCGCCCCACCCCACGTATGTTTTTTTGTGACACCACCAGGCAATTAACTCAATTCCGGCACTCTCTACCTGAAGATAGCATCAGATCCCAGAGGTTATGGGCTTGGTTCTATGAGACTCCCTCCACCCTCACTTAAGATGCCACTCTCACGTCCAGATTGTCACCTGTGTTTCTGGATGACTGGCTGTAGATCAGAGGTTCCCAGGTCTCCCTCCTCAGGTTCAATTAATTTGCTAGAGCAGCTCACAAAACTCAAAAAAAATTTTTACTTACTAGTTTACCAGTTTCTTATAAAGGGATATAACTCAGG